CTCTCTCTCTCTCTCTCTCTCTCTCTCTCTCTCTCTCTCTCCCCCTCTCCCCCCCTTTCTTTCTCCCTTCCATTTTGATGTCATTTTTCTAACCTTAACACCCCTCTGTGGGAACATGCCTGACATAGCTGTCTGGAACTCCCCTTTCTAATCCTAATTCCCTTTTCTGACGCTTGCTGGATTTAGAACCTCCCCTCTGAGCTTCCCTCCCTTTTACACAACTTGAATCTTGTTTGTACATAGCTGATTGCTTGTTGTTTCTCCCATGGGTACGTGAGTTGTTGAGGGCAGGGCCTTGGTTGTCTGTTTCTTCATCTATAAAATGGAGATAATAATAACACCTACCTCCTAGGGATGTTGTGAGGGTCAAATAAGATGATTTTACAGTGCTCAGCACAGTGCTTGGCTCAACGTAGGCTCTATAGAAATGTTAGCTATTCTTATTAATGTTAGCTGCTGTCTTTGTATCCTCAGCACTCATCACAGTGCCAGGTATATAAAAAGTGTTTAATAAATGTTTGTTGACTGTAAACTCTCCCTGGGAGGTGAAAGGTTAGACTGGATTACTTTTAAGGTCTCCTTGACCTCTAAATCTTTCCTTTCTCAAATTTCTCATGGTAATTTGTACCCTGGTACATGGCCTCTCTCCCTTGCCTCTCCCACATTCTGGCTTTCATCATAGTTAATTACCTCCGTATTTTATCCCTTTCCTCTCAGCTCTCCTTCCCAGACTATAAGGTCCTGGAGAGCAGGGACAATGTCTTGTCTCATCCATGTATGCCTAGTCCTTAGCCCAGTCACTTGAACATAGTAAACATTTAACAAAAGTTTGCTGAATTTAGTTGAATCTAAGTCTCCAATCTGTTAGCAAAGGCTTTCCCCTTCCAGGGGCATTCAGGAGGTACAAAGGCTAAGCCTCCCCCTCCTCCCTCAGCTCCTTCCTTCCCAAGGCCAGCCAGGGCTCACCTCTGTTCTGTCTGACCAGCTCTCAGTAGTCTGAGGCAGCTCTGGGGAGTTCAGAATGCTCAAGGGCTGAGGGGAGGGGCTAGCTCAGTCAGTTTACTCTCCAGGAAGAAGGTGCTCCCAGCTAGCCGAATGGCAGGTGTGACCTTGGTAAAGGTGAGGGGAAGTAGGGTGTGTGTGTGTGTGTGTAAGACCAAGAAAGGGAGATGGATCTGGGCCAAGAGGGAAAAGGGGGACTCGAAGGGGGAGACCTTAGGATCAAAGTTCCCTGAAATCTCCGGACCTGGGAACACCCATAAATGGATATACAGTGTTGCTTGCATGTCTGCCCCTCCAAGCACGCTCCACAGTGGGCACAGCTGGCACCCACATTAGCACACTCCACACACTTGGGCACTCAGACATGGTTTGCAGGGCTATCCCCCACTTGATGTGTGTGTAGGAAACTCAGAATCTGTCTATAGTTTCCGCAGGAGTTGGGCAGGGCTGTGGGCATCTGTGTGGTTGAGAGTGGGGGCAGCAGTGAGGACACAGAATAGCCCTCTTTGTTCTAGGATCCTTGATAGTTTGGGGGGATGAAGGACCGAGGGGAACCCAGAGTCAGAGTTAATGGCAGCCAGATTGAAGAGGGAGAGGGAGAGAGTAGATAACTTGGAGATACTCCCCCTCCCCAATCCCACTTCCTATTGCCCTGTAATCTAGGGCTTTGAGCAAAGGTGCCCCAAGACTCCCTTCCTTTGACAGCAAAGCGCCTAACTCTACCAGTCTCTCACCCCCATTCCCATACCACTATCAGGTGTATTTTTTTACTCCATGCTATGAAGACAGGCATAGGAACAGGACCAACATACAGGAGGATAACAGGCAGCGTGAGAGACATTTTCTCTCCCCAACCCTCCACCCCTCAAAGGAATGAGGCATCCTGGCCATCCAATAGTTTCCCCCTCATCTGAAAGGGTGCAGGGAAGTGGGATGCCGTGTAGCCGGGAACCTACCCGCCCCTCCCCGGAGAGCCCTCTCGTGCCGTGGGGGAATAACTCACTGATTCGGGGATGGGTGATATAGTTTCGTGTGACTGCCTGGATGTGTTCCCCAGCTGTGGCTGCTGCTCCAAAGGTGCCCAGGATGTCACTTGGCCTAGATTCTATCTCGGTTGCCATTTTCCCACCGGTCTACTCTCAGCAGGGGAGATGGATGAAGCCAGGGAAGTCAGCTTTTAAACTAAGAGTCTGGGCTGGAGCTGGAGAGGGCTGCCTCCTGCCTACCTAGCTCAACCCCTTCCTCCTCCTCTTTTCCACACTTGTTGACAGTAAATAGTAAATGCTGGGCTTTCAGAAGGCAGCTGTTCTCTCTGCCCCAGAGGAATCTCCTATCTCCTCCTCTCTACCCCATCCCTAAGGGCTACCCTTTCAGATAGGATCTCAGGATCAGAGGTGTACCCCTGGAAGGTACCTTAAAAGTCATCTGGTCAAATCCCCTTATTTATCAGATGAGGAAACTGAAGCCCAGAGGTGTTAGGTGATTTTCCTAAAATCACACAAGATCTTGACAAAGCCAGGATCTAAACCCAGGATAAAAATAGCTAGAGAAAGGGGAAAGGGAGATGGAGGGAGGGGGACTGTTTGGAGGTTATTCCCAGGAGCTCCTTTAGGGAGACAAGGATGAGTCCTGAGGAGATGGGGTCAGCACCACTGAGTGAGAAGGCTTTATACCCTGAGGCCAAGGCCATCTCCTTCTTTAGTTGTGTTAAGGTACCATTTATCTCTCTACTAGATTTTTAGGTACCCCGGGGGCTGAGACGTCTTTTGCTCGATTGGGGCCCTTCTAAGGTGTATGTGTGTAAGGAGCACTGTATCTCCTTCTCAGAGCTGAAGGGTTCTGTCTTCTCTTTCTTCCTAACTTTCCCTATGCTCTATGAAGAAGTGTGGTTGTGGGAGCGGTGACACTAGCAATTTACAATGATGATGATACTCGAAGTGATGATGGTGGTGATGAGAATTGTGATAACTATGATTGTGATCAAGATGGGCCATGGCAGTGGTGACAGTGATTTTGACACAGATAATTGTTAGGCATAGTGATATTTGGATGACGAGGATATCATTAATGATGAGGGTGAGACAATGTTCTTAATGATGATAAGAACATAAATGGAGATGAAGGTAGTTATGATGCAAGTGACAATAGTAATGATGATGGTGATGATGGTAGTGGTGGTATATTTATAGTGATGATGGTGATAATGATTGTAATGGTGATGATGGTGGTGGTACATTTCTAGTCATGATGGTAATGAGAAGGGTGATGATGATGATGATGGTGGTGGTGGTGGTGGTGGTTGTCATCATATATTTGTAGTGATAATGTTGGTGGTATATTTATGGTAATGATGGTAGTGATAATGATGGTGATGCTAATGATGATGATATATTTATAGTGATAATGGTGATGTTGGCGATGCTGATGGTAATAATGGTGGTGATGACTGTGTTGGGGATCACACTTCATAATGTTAGTGTGGATACTGACTATGTTATTGATGATGGAAATGGTGATGATAATGATGGGTGGTGAAGAGAGTGTCAGTGAAGGTGATGTCATGATAGAAGTGATGATAATGACGGTGGTGAGTGAGGACACAATATTTTGACCCCAGGGATTTCTGTGATTCCCCCCTTAGCAGAGTATATATACCCACATTCTCTTTAACTGAAGGTATACTCTGAAAAGCAGAAAATGATGGCAATGATTATCTTTCCCTTTCCCTGAGGTTGAGACTCATCTCCCAGAATCTGAGACCCATGTTCTACCATGCACTAACTTCAGCCATTTATTTTTGATTATGAGATGTATTGGCAAAACCTGCCCCAACCAAAACTTTCAAGTTAGCAAATTTTGTCCTCACTACCTCCATCCTCCCCTTTCTGAGCCCATTTCTGCCATCTTATCACCCTTACGACCCACATTAACTTAGGAACTGAATGCATTCTTCCCCACCCTACCTCCCTAGGTAGCTATCATTTTAACAGAGAAAGAGTAATGATGAACTCAAGGGGATTGTGTATTAATGGTGGAATTTCAGGCACAGTGGTACCTGGATGGGGGAGATATATCACATCCTCTGCAGGGAGACCAGCTTTGGCATCTATAGGTTAAAAGGAGCCCTGAACAGACAGAAACTACCCTCTAGCACATATAGGAAGACCAGCACTCTGGCTCTACTTACAACCATGAACCCTCTCACTCTCCTTAGGCCTCTTGGCTTTCAGTTCAGCTCCTACTAAAAGGGCCTGGAGAGGATGAAGAGAATAGGAAGGAAGGCTTGAGGATTGGAAGTCTGGTGGGAAGGGCAGGGAAGTTATTTTATCTCCTTCATTCTTGTGCCTTTCCTTTTATTTGTGTGAGAGACACATACTTGCACACTCACCGGAGTGAGCACACACACACACACACACACACACACACACACACACACACACATACACACAAACCACCCAGACATTTGGTTGATGAGTTTTTTCAGCTGGGAGAGAGACATTAATGGAGAGTGGGAAAGTCTTTCTCTTCTTACTCCCTGGCTGGGGTAATGGGGTTGAGGGACAAATGGAGGTGTGATGGGGAGGGAGTGTCAGTGTAGGGTAGGAGGTGGTTAAGTTGTGTTGGCCTTCTTGCTGCTAGGGCCACTGTTTTTCCTTTCCAGTCGACTGTATGGCTCAAAGGCCGAAGTGCTCAATTCGTACCCACTGGGCAAGTCCAGGAGTGAGGTTGTGGTGAAACAGAGAGGAGGTGGTGGGGGTGGCAGCCGAGGAGAAGTTGAGGCTGAGGCCATTTGGGGACCAATTAGGCTAAAGAGGGCTCCTGCCTTGGGGGGGCTCTCAGTTGGGCTGTTCCCAGTGGGGTTTGAAGAGGAGTTCCGGGGGAGCCCCAGGGTGGTGGCCCCATTGCTGGTGGTTAGGCCTGGTGGCGTGGAAGTCAGGGCCAGGAGGCTAGAGGCCCCGGGGACCGACAGAAGACGTCCCTGCTCCAACAGTCGCAAGATGTTGGATGTGGCAAAGGCCTCAGAGGTGGAAGTTGACGAGTGCTTCTCTGAGTCCCGGCTCTGGTCCTTCTTCTGCTTTGTCCGGCGGTTCTGGAACCAGACCTTGACCTTGGTGAGGTGGAAGGCAGAGTAGAGGGGAAGAGAGAAGTTGGGAGTCAGGAACAGCAGGAAATAGGGAGAAGACAAATGAGAGGGAGAGAGAGTGGGAGATATGAAAACAGAAATGAGGGCAGTGAAGAGAAGTGATGGTTTTGTCCAAGCCAGTGAGAAGATGGGGAAATATTGGATGGTAAAAGGGAGAGAAGGTAGTGATGGGAGCAAGAATGAGGGGTTAGGAAAGGAAGGGAGAGAGAAGAGAGACAGATTCTATTAAACAGGCAACCAATGACCTTTTTGGGGTAGAGCGTCCAGAGGTCTCCCTAACTCTTGTCCCCCTACTTTTCTCTGCCAGTCTGTGCACCTACCTATCTTTGTCCTTAAAAATTTCTTCAATGGAGAATCCTAATGCTTAAGGGTAGGCAGCCATCAGAACTACTGAGCTGCTTTGAATCTCTTACGTTCATGGGAACAGAGACTCAAAGAGTCATAGAATCTAGAGCTGGGAAAGACCTTAAAGTCCATCTAGTCCATTAATGAATGAGAAAAAAAAGGCCTGCAGAAGGGAAAGGACCCATCTGACATCATAGGGATAGTGGTCTCCCAGAGGTCTCATCCTAAACCTGTCCTAACCTTAATGTCAGCATAGTGCCCTAGAAATCATGTTGGTTTGGGAGTCAGGTGATAAGAACTCAAATTTTGGCTCAGCCTTTTGCTACTTTGTGTGATCCGGGACAAGTCACACAACTTCCCTGGGGCTCAGTTTCCTCATCTGAAAAAGGAGGGTGTTGGAATTCATGGTCTCTAAGGTTCTTTCCAGCTCTAAGTCTGTGATCCCTTGGCCAACCCCATCCCATCCCTCTCTGGGCTTCCTTTTGAAAAACAGAGAATTGTGATGTTCTGGCCTTCTGCTTTTCAGTCTGAAAGACCTCAAGAACAGGACACCATGGTTACTAGAGGCTCCCTCTGCTGACCATTCTCTAGAAAGGCATTTGGCATTGAGGACTCTGTAGATGTAGGTATAGCACCTATAGCTCTTGTTCTGGGAGGAGGCATATATAAGGAAATCCGGATCCAAGTTACATCCTGAAAATGCTACACATTATCTTCATTTCAATTATCATCACCATCATCTCTTCAGTATCATTTAATCACCCTTATCACCATCATCATTGCTCCCAGTCATTATCATTCAAACTTCCTAAGGGTAAAAGCCTGGTCTTTCCTCTCCTTTTCTCCCTTATAGCATATGAGAGGTGCTCAGGACCACAGAATCTGAGAGCTAGAAGGAAATGAAGTAGTCACGTTGTATGATCCTTTTATCATAGGACCAGAAGATACCTTGGAGACCATGTAGTTTAACCCCTTCATTTTACAGAAGAGGGAACTGAGTCTCAGAGAAGTGAAGTGACTTGCCCAGCCAGGGTCATACAGGTGTTAAGGAAAAGAGGCAGGATTTGAAGCTACATCCTTTGATTTCAGGTCACTGCCTTTCTAGCCATCTAGTTTTAACTCATGCATGAACAAGGATCCCCTTTACATCATAACCAACACAGTCATCCAACCTTTGCCCCCAAACCTTCAATGAAGGGGAACACCCTACCACCCAAGGCACACCCTCCATGTCTGGATAGTCATAATTGGTATGATGTTTTTGCTTATATTCAACCTTAGTTTAGCACAGTGCCTGGCACATAATTTCATTGTTCAGTTGTTTCAGCTGAGTCTGACTCTTTGTGATTCTATTTGGGGATTTCTTGGCAGAGATACTGGAGTGGTTTGCCATTTCCTTCTCCAGCTCATTTTACAGATGAGGAAACTGAGGCAAACAGGGTTAAATGACTTGCCCAGCGTTTCTGAAGTGAGATTTGAACTCAGGAAGATGAGTTTTCCTGCTTAGAGGTTGGGTGCTCTATGCATGATGGCGCCACCTAGCTGCCTCAAGACTTTACAACTGTTAAATTTCACCTTATTAGGGTCAACAGACAGGCCTGCTGGATACAAGGTACATACAAAGACAAAACT